ATGTACCGATATCTAGCATATGCGATATCATGCAAGTCATGCATACATTGAGCCCCCCCAATTTGACATGAAATAATCCAGTTGTAAAACTGATTTCCAGTATTAATCATAAGTTCCATACTTGGATCCATTGGGGTCTTTAACTCACTACAATTCCTACTATGAATTTTATGCAAGTACCTTCTCATGCAGAAAAATTGAGAGAAGGACTTTTTCTTGTCGTTCCGCTTGATTCAATACACAGAATCACATTTGCCTCCCCCATGTCCTTCATGGAGAATTGAAATAACAACTTTTTATCAAAGTTCATTTATCTTTTATTGGTTCCAAAGATAAGCATGTCTTATACATACAAATGTACGATGACTTCATTACCAAAATCATCATAAATTATATACACATTTTGTCTCTTTGGTTTAAAATAACATAAACCACTTGACAAAATCACTTATCCCTGATTGGTCCCAAAGATAAATATGTCATCTACATACAAACACAACGACTCTATTACCAGAATCATCAAACATTGTATATACAATTTTGTCTCCTCGGTTTAAAATAACATAAACCACTAGACAAAATCACACCACCAAACCAATAGAAAAATCCAAATTTATCTAGAACTTCGTAAATGTCGAATAGAGAATTAGACTAATTAACCATTGAGTATGTGACCTACCCAAAGGCAATTTTCATTCTTCTATTTCTCCATTTTACGAATCATTCTCCTTCTTCCTCATCTTTGAATCATCCCTCTTCCAAGTTACCTTCCGGATATGGAATACACCATGAGATAAGTACGAAGAAAACCCATCTTCTACTGCCATCGATCAAAAAACCATCATCGAACATTCTCATAATTCCATAGACCGGAACCGGTTTCTTGTAAAGAGCGGTTCGAGCCATCGTACTGGAAAAATATTCTTTTCGATTGTTGGGACTTTTAGGGACGAGGGTATACGTACGATAGCCCAAGACCGGGTGACTAGGATTATGATAGAGTCGTGAACTACGTTCACTTTCCGAAAAGAATATTTCCACCCTCTACAAAGCCTTGGGTTACAGGAAATTTCTCCCGAGGATAAAACTATCACCACTTTAGGTTCCAGGCTCAAGAACACTAAAGCATACTTAGAAATTTTTGGAAGAAAGAAAAAGAATATGTTTGATGGTATGTGGCATCATCCACCCCACACATATTTATAGGGGCCGAATCCATGCATTGTTTCATGAAAGGTTGCCTTTATCCATACGAAAGGTTGCCTTTATCCATATGAAAGGTTGCCTCTATTCATATGAAAGGTTATCCTTATCCATATGAAGGATTGCCTCTATCCATAAGGTTATCCTTATCCATAAAATAATGCAACCGCCACTAGGCCAAAGGGATGTGTCCCTTCACGGAATTAGAATATCGGTTTGGTCGGTCTAATATCAAACCGGTCGGTCGGTCCAACCCAAAATCGGTTTGACTTGGTTAGTCCGGTTCAACCAAATTTCCAACACATTCTGCTCTGCTATCCTCGGTAATCTCTTGCTTTACTGTTTCTTTTTTCCTATTCAGTCCAGTGTTTATGCTTTTACTCTTGAATGAATTTCAACACTATAATGGGGTTATGGTTTCTGACTTTTGAATTGGTTTCGGAACGCTGTATGGGAAAAATGATCGAGGAGATGGGATTTCTGAGTTATGATTTTCCAAGGGGGGCACTTAATTTCTTGGTTAATCTTCACGTTTTCGTCTTCTACATATTCCCTAGAATTAGGGGTTTTTGTCTTCTCACGTTTTTAATGCCTAATGTTTGTGAAAGTTTGTTTCATTCCTTGAGATTAATTAATCTTGGGTTTGATGCCTCATCTTATTTTAGTTGTTCCCCATCTGTTCTTCTACGTTATATTGAATTTACTATATGCTGCTGCATGAATGACTTTGAGGTTCATTCGATTCAGACTTAGATTGTTCGATTCCAGTAGAATTTGAGTCTGTATTGTTTTAATCTGCCTTGTATTTACCTGCAGTGTTAGTTAACATCTCTGCTTACTTATCTTTGGCTCACATTCTGATGGTTTTTTGGTCTGCCTTGTATTTATATAACACTAATGCTCTTGTTTTATTTAGAAGTTTTACATGTTTGCTGCGTTTATTCTTGGCCCAGCTCTTGCTAATTTTTTGTTCTTGCTAATGAAATATTTCTTTTTGTTTTTATTTTCTTATCATTCTTCTCTCTTATGCACATTTCCATGTTCCATGAAAGGTTGAAAAAATGGAGAGAAGCTGGATGCAGAGCATGAATAGGTTGAGTAAAGAGTACATTAAAGGAATAGATGATTTCCTTGATTTTGCTTCAACAAACGGCAATGAAAAAGGTGCAATTCTGTGTCCTTGTAAGAAGTGTAATAATGTTTTGCACTTCACGAAAGAAGAAGTGAGAGCTCATTTAATCATGAATGGGATTATCAAGTCTTAAACAAAATGGTACTTCCACGGAGAGAGCTATGTTCCAAGCAATTCTTCGCTTGATGAACTTGCATCGGAGGGAGGTCATGATGGTATGCTAAATTTGATTAAAGATATTGCAGAACCTGAATTTATGGATTCTACCACAAATGATGCATTATAAGAGGAAATTGTTCAGTCCAATGTAGAAGAACCTCCCAAGTATGATAAGGCACCTCCCAAGTATGATAAGGCAACTGCTAAGTTTCTTAGTTTGTTGGAGGATGCTCAACAGAAACTTTATCCCAATTGTGAGACCTTCACAAAGTTGTCATTTGTTGTGAAGTTATTTCAAATCAAGTGTCTCTTTGGAATAAGTGATACATCAATTACAGATATAATGAACTTGGTCAAAGAAGCACTTCCCTCTGGAGAGACATTGCCAGAATCCTTTTATAAAGCTAGAAAAATTATTAAAGATTTGGGTCTTGATTATAAGGAAATAGAAGCTTGCAAGAATGATTGCATGTTATTTTGGAAAGCGGATAAAGATATACAACATTGTTTAAAATGTGGAGAATCCAGCTACAAGTGCGATAAATCAACAGATGAGAAAGGGGTGCCACACAAAGTGTTGCATTACTTTCCTCTAGCACCAAGGTTGCAAAGGTTGTTCTTGTCATCAGAAGTAGCATCAAGCATGTGATGGTATAATGAAGAGCGTATAAAAGATGGGGTTCTTAGACATCCAGCGGACTCTGAAGTGTGGAGATCTTTTGACAAGCGAAATCCAGGTTTTGCTCTTGAACCTCGTAATGTGAGAATTGGATTATCTGCAGATGGTGTCAATCCTTTTGGTAACATGACTACTTTTCGTAGTACTTGGCCAGTTATTGTTACCGTATATAATCTACCTCCTTGGATGTGTATGAAGCAGCCATATTGCATTATGTCATTACTAATACATGGTCCAAAAGCTCCAGGAAATGATATCGATGTATACTTGCAGTCATTGATAGAAGATTTAAGGAATTATGGTATTATGGGGTTGACACATACGATGCTTCAAAAAAAGAATTTTTTCGCATGCGAGTAGCACTATTGTGGACTATTAATGACTTTCCAGCTTATGCAAACTTATTAGGATGGAGTACAAGGGGAGCATTAGCATGTCTTTCATGCGGTGAGGATACTCATTCTATTAGACTTAAGCATGGTAATAAATTTTCTTATATGGGTGCTCGTCGATTTTTATCTTCTAATCACAAGTGGCGTGATGATAAACGTTCATTTGACGGGAAGGTGGAACGAAGATCTCCACCAACATCATTTTATGGTGATGAGGTGTTGAAACAGTTGGACAGTCTTACATTCTATGAGTTTGGAAAATCTGAGAAGAGGAAGAAGAAAAACTATGATACTAGAAAGTACTTGAATTGGAAGAAGAAAAATATATTTTTTCAATTACCTTATTGGAAGACCATCTTATTACGCCATAATCTTGATGTCATGCACATTGAGAAGAATGTATGTGATAATATTATTGGTACTTTACTTGATATAGAGGGAAAGACAAAAGATGGTGTGAATTCTCGATGGGATTTGCAACTTATGAAAATTCGAAAGAAGTTGCATCCAATAGAGAAAGATGGGAAGTATTATTTACCATTGGCATGCTATAATATGCTTCCAATAAGTTCTGTACATTTCTGGAAGATCTAAAAGTTCCAGATGGTTTTTCTTCAAATATCTCCAATTGTGTGAGGGATCGAAAATTATATGGCTTGAAGAGTCATGATTCTCATGTTATCTTAGAGCGCCTCCTTCCTCTTGCTCTACGAGGTGTTGTTCTGCCAAGTATTTATGATGTTATAACAGAGTTATGCATATATTTTAGAGAGTTGTGTTCAAGAGAATTGAGTGTGGATGTTTTGAATCACCTTAAGTCTTCAATTTCTATCACATTGTGTAAGCTCGAGAGATTGTTTCCGCCATCTTTTTTTTATATTATGGTGCACTTAGCTATGCATCTTGCTACTGAAGCAAAGCTAGCTGGGCCTATGCAATTCAGATGGATGTACCCTATTGAGAGGTAATGCTACAAAAAGATTATGCTATATTACTTTAATTATTTTCTATGTGTGACTTTTGATTGATTATTGTGTTTGTTTTATGCAGGTTTCTTCGCAAGTTAAAATGTTATGTTCGAAATAAGAATCATCCTGAAGGTTGTATGGCAGAAGGATATATTGTGGAAGAGAGTATCATATTTTGCTCAAGATATTTGCATGGGGTGCAGAATCCGTTTGATAAACTAGAAAGAAATGGTGATCATGATTCTATTGGTTCAGGTAAAAAAGTATAAGTTTTCAATCAAAATGGTTATCCATTAACCATTGATAAGAATAGATCATTGGAAGATTTGGAGAGAACTCAAGCTCATATTTATATTCTAAATAATTGTGAGGAAGTTCAGCCATTTATAAGGTATATGTCTTCTACTAGTTAGTTATACTAATCCCTCCTTGATAAAAAAAAATACTATATATTAATTGTTATTATTCCATTTTGTAGAGAATATGAAACATCTTCAAAGAACGAAGACTTTGCCGAATGGTTTAAAAACAATGTAAGTTTATTTGCTTTTTCTGTATAAAGAATAATGCATTCAAGCATATATATATATATGCCTTCTACGGTACCCCGGGTGAAATCCGGGGTACCGCATACCTTGAGTATGAAAACGCTATCTAGACCTCAAATTAGTAGGATTTTTGGGCATGATACTATACCCTAACCCTTAATGGTGCATTGATTTTTTTGCCTATATTTGGACGAATCATAACCGTCGAATATTGTTTCTAATTAAATGATCTTGGTGTATAAGATTTAGAGAATTCAGACCTAGATTTTGATCTTTAAGGGTTAGAGTATAGTATCATGTTCAAAAGATCAGTCAATTCAAGTTTTGGATAGCGTTTTCTTACTCAAGGTATGCGGTACCCCAAATTTCACCCTGGATACCGTAGAACTCCTATATATATCAAATCTAACACATTTATTAATATCCAATCTCGTTTATTAAACATACACATCCAATTCAAGACATCAAATCCAAACACTAGTTCGTTGAAACTCAAATCTCCATCTTACATACTTTGTTACAATCCACAAATCATAATAACTCAATCGATCAAATTCAATGCAATCAAACTCAACATAATACATGTTTATGATACTTGTTTTAAAACACGAAACATAGGTAAAAACTCTCCTCCGACCAATCGTCTGCTACCTCATGATGGATTAGAAGTTGCACAGCTCCGACGTCCAAGCTTAGTTCCTCTGCTGCGGATCTGAACACAAAAGGGGAGGGGGTCAGCTAACTAATTTAGCTAAGGTGTGGCGATGTTCCCTCCTACATGGCGAAGTCTATGGATATCTTTTCCACGTCAATCGATTAACCACCTAATCATGGCATCTAGGTTGAAGTTTCAACCTAATATAATTCTCAACCTAGCATCCAATATCCAAACAATATGCAAGTGCAATGTATTTCCATTTTATTAATTTGGGCGCCAAGGTCACCATACATCCACCCCCGCTCGAGCCTCATCATCTAAGTGGTTATATCATAAACAACAATCATATCTCTCTGGCCACTGGCCTCATCGATCCTAATGATCGTCGGTAACAATATCAAATGGTTGGGGGTAAATGCAGGCCCTTTCTAAGTCTATGTGATTAATATGAACATCATATAAAATCATCATTCTCATCATAATCGCAATATAATAATCATCAATCTCAATCGATCTTGGTGTGATTACCAAGTCTATGCCATAAGGTAATTTGTACATATCATGCATACTATTTATTGTTATCGTACATTCAACGTATAAGGTGGACAGTTTGAATCCTCGTACATGGTTCGTTAATCATTTAATCGGTGATAATCACCGAGTAATTTGAAAGGTGGACCTGCCTTGGTAAAACTCCGAGAAGGGGAATGTGTGCCACTACTCGTAGTACACTTCTTACAACCATATTCCCAAAAGATTTCACCGGGTGAATTTCCAGGAAAGTGGACGAGTACCACGAAGGTCTCGATTAAAAACCACTAGCCTAGACAGAATTCTCCCATGGTAGCTGTCCATTTTTCAAATTATTACGAATTCGTTCGTGGTTTAATAATTATCCCAAGTAATCGTATTAGGATAATTATTCAATCGCAGGTGTAATTTCACATAACTCATGGTCTGATATCACGTCATGAATTATTGAAATAATTACAACGAAGTCTCAAGGAGTTTCACGATTCGTAGGGATCAATTACAAAATCGTAAATTCCAAATACTCGATTATGAATCATCCAATTCTACTCGAGTATCCAAATCATAATAACGACATTCTTCATTTTATCTTCGTCAAATCCTCAGCTATGTTTCAATATTAAACACATAGCACGTAGTAAAACACCGCCTATTCACCGCAGGGTACACACACCTTATTTATGACGTAATTCAATCTGTAAAGATGCTGTAAAAATTCCAATACTCCTTGATAAAATTCTCCTCGTCTCTACGATCCTGTAGGCGAAAACGGTTTGTCGTTTGGACGTCAAACGAACGAATTACAGCCAAAATACGAATTCTGTTAGTTCTCGAAATTCCAAGTACTGTAAATAACATTTTCCAGTCAAACGGGTCGTTGACCCTTCCTATGGAAAAAGTCCGTCCAGGTCCTCAAACCTTTCGAATTGACAGAAACAGTACCTGACTTTCAGAAACTGACAGTTCTACTTGGCCAACTTGCGAGGCTCGTTTCTCCCTCGCCCGACGTCTAAAATTGATTCCGTCAAAACGTGCGTGCTCTTGGGATCGCCCTCTTCGTAACGGTACCAACCACTCACAGAATGGTTGAGATCGGAGTTGACGTCGTCGCCGTCACGGAATACCGACGAAACTCCGGCGAGGCTCCGACAAGGCTTCAACGACGCTTCTAGCTTTGTGGGGGACCTCCCCAGACCCTTATGGCGACCTCCCAAACCCCAGAAATCTCAACACTCTTACTGATCTCTCTCTCCCTATTTCCTTCCTTGTGTTGAGCTTTGGTTCTCACTATTTATAGCATTCCGGCGTCGTCCTTATTCAATGGATGAACATACAGTTGGGAGGCATTAATTTCAAATCCAGACCCTAGTGCTAGTGCAGCTCATGGAAATGGTGGGTTGGTGTTGCGTTTCTTTTATAAATATCAAACTAAAAGAGAGAGACGTGACTATCCCTCCTCCTTGTATCCTTACACATAAATTATAATACATGCTGGTGGTGAGTTAATGTAATGGAATGGATTCATTCATTTTGGACAGAAGTTACGTCACTAAGGGAGAGCTTCATTTGTTTCTTCAGAATATGATCTCGTCAGATAGTAAGTAATAATATTTACTATGAAATTTATGCACAAGTAGTGTGCAACCAACAACCCAACTGGTAAATGGTGATGATTGTGTACCTTTATGTTGTTGGTTCGAATCTTGGTGTTGAATATATTTTTTTATCACATCAGAATCTGTCAACGTCTGAGCACACTTGTTCGTATTTTCGCCCTTACATAATTCATTCATGTCATATTTATTCTCTCGATTTATCACGTCTTTAATTGGCGAGTACTCATAGTTCTTCCAAACCGGTAGAATTCATTCCTACTATTGTTGGTGTTCTTTGTTCCAACGTCGAACCGGTTTGATGTGAGATTTAACCCATATATGGGATGTTACAACAAGGGTCTTGCAAGTTCAGTAGATCCTTCTGTCCAAACTTCTCCGGCGAGAGCAACAAGTGATGTGCAAGATATGTGCCTTCTCTTTTCGACTCTTTAATTGGCTAAAATTACATTTTAAGTTGATTGACCTTTACTGTTCACTGTATATAATGTGTGTATAGAGTAATATAATGTATTGATAAAAGTTTCTAATATTTTTTTTCCTTATTATTTGTTGTAGAAAATGTGGATGAGCAAAAATTGTCGATCCGATATCATTATGGAGGCCATTTCACTTTTTCACCTCGTAGAAAGTACACAACTGAAAATATAATGGTAAAAGATGACCATGAGGTGGGGTTCCTTTCATATTTTACTATCTTAGATGACCTTAAGATGTGTGGGTTTAATGTCCTTAATGGAGATAAGTTCTGCTATCTTAAACCCAAAACTCCAATTAGTGATTTGAACGGGCTGGTACAATTGGAGGATGATGATGATGTTCTATCCATGCTTTCCTCATATAAGAAATGTAGAATTTCTACTTTTGAAATATACACCTTGTCAAGCAAACATGATGTTCTGCCAAATTTACATCTTGATGGAGAAGTTCATATGGATGATGATTCATCAGAAGATGGGGGGACAAATATTGGTTCAGAGCATAATGACACAGGTTTGTATACTTTTATTTCTTATTTAATACATTATAATAGCAATTTTATTACTTTTACCACCTAAGTACTGCTAACGATATATTAACACAATGCAATATCTCTTTTCTTTTTTAATAATTTACAAATAGGTCCACAAAAACAAAAGAAGAAAACAAGGGGTCCAACCCGTTGTATAAGAATTATCAGATTGGAGGAAGGAAATAAATTATCTGTAGAATTCGATGAGGATCATCAACCGGTTGGTGAAAATGCAACAAGTTTTGTAGCATTCTTGGGAGTAACTGTTCGAAATCGTTCTTGTTGTCCTTTGCAAGTGAAGTAAGTGAAGGATATCAGTAGAGATGCAATAGATCATATGTGGGGAATCATAATGGTAGTATTCACATTTTTCATTCATTTTCTTTTGGAATTATTTAGCATATGAATAGAAATTGTATATACTTGTTTTCTTACTAAAATTCTTTTCATTTATTGATTCTCGTAGGAGAAGTTCACGTTTGAACTCCCAATGGATAGGATGGAATCAATCATTGGTCACATGAATGCTCTGTACAGGGATTATATGTAACATCCCAAACCAAACCAAATGAAATAAATAAAATAAATTTATTCTCGATAATTATAAATTTACAATCGAAATTCTATGTCGTGGAATTTACGTCGTCAACGGAAAGGATGTAACTGGAAGCAATAATAATAATTATTGTAATTGATTATTATGTGTGTACTTATATGTATATATGTTGAAATTAAAGAGAAAAGAAAAATAAAATAAAAAAGATGTTGGCAATAGGTTTTGAAACAATGACCTTTTGCCCGTTAACTAGCAGCTTAACGGCTCAGCTACAAGGTTGTTAATGCAAAGGACTCTCCGACTTAATTAAATACATGGTTGCGTCCCTATTGTATACAACCAGCCAACAGTCTTGACACATCGTCGAACAATTCCAGGACATGGCGAGCTATGGATTTCAAGCGGCGCCGGCTTTGGGAGGTGGAAGGCACTCTCTTCAAACCTGCAAGTTAGAAGGAGGCCTTCCAGCAGGGATTTAATGCTGGTGCAGCGGATAGGAGTGAGAGAGAGGGAGGTTGAACGTACGGTAGTTTAAAGCTCCCTTCTCCTCGTCGATTTTGACATCCACAAGTAGAAGGAAAGAAAAGAGTGAGAGAAAGGAAACCAGAGGGAACTAACGGCGTTTAAAGGTCAGGGGTAGGCCACCGAACGCCCAGAAACCCTTTGATGGAGCTGAAATCATGTTTGGAGATCGTTAGAGAGCATCGGAGCTTCATCGAAATAATCCCGCCCTCGACGTCGGCATCGTCAACTGCCACGATAATTCCGAAACTTTACACCGATGCGTAGAGCTCGTCTCCAGGAACATCACGGAGTCGACGGAATCGAATTCTGAGCTCAAACGAGGGAGAAACGAGGTTCGAAAGTTGTGCGTATAACGGTACGATTTACAAGTTCTGGAACTGTTCCAGACAGTTCGAAAATATAGAGTACTGTTATGTAATTTGTCGTACTAATTAGTAATCGGCTCGCAGTTTCTTAGTTTGACGTCCAAACGACAAACCGTTTGCGCCTACACAACCGTGGGAACGAGGAGAATTTTATAGAGTCCATCTCTGGAATTTTAGAACTTAATTCCCGACTTGGAATCGGCTAAATTAAGGTGTGTGGGGATTAAGAGGACTTTAATTATTGCATCGATTATTTATGCTTGATATACATACTTGGGTGGATGGATTACTGTGGGTGATAACTTATTTGTTGATATGATGATTTGGCGATTATTCTTGATTGTTATGGATTTTACGGTGTAAATATCGGTATTTGACAAGTTTCACCGTAAAAATGAATAGTTGGGTTTATTGAGTTTAAAATCATCTAAGAGATTTTTATTTGTCTAAAATGATGTTGGGTCAGATTGATCAGAAGATTTCACTTGAAATTGGTTTCTGGATTAAAAACTGCATAACGATGAATTTTAAGAAAAGCTCGGTAAAAACGTGTTTTATTTATCTTTAAGATTTTGATCACTTTAAAATGGTTAGTGTGGATTGTTAAATGAGTTTTGGTCTGGAAAGGGTAAATTAGACAGTGGGGGGAGTTTTTATCTTTAAAATGGTAAAAACGAGCTTAATATGAGATTTGCGGTAAAGTCCGGTTTAATATTATTTTCATGGTTTTGAGCTATTGAAAAATATAAAAACTGGACAGACCTGTTTTAGGATGGTAAATGGAGGTTCTTGTATTTTTGGGAGATTTTCGGATTTACCATTTTGTTGGAATTTAAGTTACCGTAAAATAATGGTTAATACGAGATTTTTGATATTTTAATGTCTAAATTGATTTTTATGACCAGAACTAGATTAAATAAATTTTTGTGTCAATAAATTCAGTTAGATGAATTTTGTGAGGATTTTAATGAAGGAAAGTGAATTTTGTGTTAATGATATTTTTAACCGTAACCGGGTTATTTATAATTATTTGCGTTGGCGCTATTTCATGAAATTGTTGATGAATTTTGGATGAGGAATGGTGACATGGTACTGTTGAGTAGCTTTACTGGAGAATGAAATGATTTATGTGATTCGGTATTGGATGATGAAATAGTTGATTTTTTTAAACGTCGAGTTGATAATCGACGGAAAATATATATATGGACTGGTCAATCCGTGAGACTACATCGATTACGGATTGATTGTGATGGATGAGAAAAATGGAAATAGTTTGATTCGTGATCATATTAATTCACGTAGATATAGAAAGGGCTTGCACTTACCCTCACCCCTTGAGAGTGGGTAGATTTAGCTCGCTTATGCGATTGAGTGTTGTTGTTGCATGAGCACCACGGATGAGTGTTGTGGTTAAAAACCACGGATTGAGTGTTTTGGTTGCATGAGCACCACGGATGATGATTTTCTCGAGCGAGGGTAAGTGTATGGTGACCTTGGCGCCATTAATAATTAATCGAAATTTTCATATCATGCATTGATTATGTGTTCGTGAAATTATGTGATTATCTTATTTGGATAAATTGATTTGGTGATGATGAGTTGGTGGATTCGATATATTGATCGATGATTTATATATATAATGAATTAAGATGGCATCTAGAGTACTAAATTATGATTGATTATGACGTTTGATTAGCTGATTGCGGTCCAAAAATTAGGTCGTGGGAAAGATCCACACACACAGCTTAGTTACTGACCCACTTCTGTTCAGTTTCTTACAGGTTCGAATGATTTGAGAGAAACTCTGGCACTGCACAATGATCGATGGAGGATTGATTTTGAAGTTTTCCCAGATTTTGAAATAACTCTCATTTATCTTGTATGAGTCGATGATTTGGGTATTGCATAGTAGATAGTACCATAATGAGCATAGTAGTGAATGCCACTCTGATTTGGTTTACCTAAATTAGATGAACTAGATTGAGTTGATGTTTGGAATATGATGAGAAATTTGAGAATTGATTGTTGTGATTTTGGATCAAAATAATGTAGGTATATATATTACTAGTGGTAAATAGTCGAGTTTTTGTGTAACCCCAATAGAGATTCCGCTGTGCGGGTGAACCATTGGTTTAACCCATGAGTTTAATGGTGGGGTGTTACAGGTGTTATCAGAGCTGGTTTGTTTTCTGCACTATGGGTATGTTACTTTCGCTCTTGAGGACTGATCACCCTCAAGAGGGAAGGGAGTACTCCATATCTGTACTTGCACTAAACCTACCAGGAATTGAGACCAATGATTGGTTGCATAGTAATAGTCAAAGTTAGTTGCATTGGGTCAAAAGAATTTCAATTATTTTGAAAAGAATTTCAATTGTTTTGAAAAGAATTTCAAAAAAAGGTATGATTTGAAAGAGCTTGTGGAAATGAGTTGCAGGAACTCATTTCTAGTCGAAAAGTGAAATATTTTCCTCCTGAAATTGATCGATCAGTGCAAAAGTGCCTCCTCTCGTTTAACGAGATGGAACTTCCTAAATTAAGGAATTAAGAGTTATCAGAGTTGAACGAAACATCTATAGACCCTAAGGGGGATTGCGGATGGAATAACGGAATCCTTATTCCATTTTAACACGACTAGATAAAGTAAGAAATCCACAAGGGAATTCGATGTCCTGAGACGGGGGGACAAAAAAAAGTGGGAATAGTGACTGTCAATGAGAATGTCGGACACCTCAATTTTTACCTCCACACTTAATTTCTCATATGAGAAATGAGTACGAGGATAACTAATGTCACCTAGTATGAAGTGGAAGGTGGTAAGTGATGATCGACCACTGGAAATGTGGGATCTTGCTGAATGAACTGGCATGAAGGATGAACGCCCGAATGTCGAACTTGCTCCCTAGAGTTGACCCGAAGTCAAGGTCATCAATGGTGAATGTTAGATGGGGGGAAGTACATACGTGAACCTTCCGAGGATAATACTTTCCTGATGTGGTCTTAGTTATGTAAAAATATATACTTGGTAGAAGGATACTACCAAGGGTAACCATGACGATAGGGGGAGAGAGGAAAAAGTTATGAACATCTCGGGGAATGAGATACCTTAAACCAACGGATTAGTTGGTTGAACAAATATTAGTCTCCCCAGCGGCTTAGTCACAAGCTCACTGCCCTATTTTTTTATAGCTTATAGCAGAAGTAAGGAGTGTGCAAGTCTAGTTTTACGGATTCATACGATTATCATACGTCTTTTTCCCACTTCTCCTTTTTCCTTTAACACGCTAGTGCCCGAATCTCGTTTATCCTATCTTTGATACTTCCTTAACGCTAGCTTTAAAGGAAATGTAGCGTGCTTAGCTTGTTCCACAATTACCTGGTTCTGCATGTATTCCCTAACCTAATACCCGCTACTAAGGCTTTAGTGAAAATAGCTAAATCGTCAGTAACACTAACACGAAGAGTTGCCTAGGAAGGGTATCTTTAAAAGGATATCCAACTGGGAAAGGACAATCATTTTGGTCTAGGAATAATCATTGAGGGGTGTACCCGATTGAATAAGAGAAATCTTGAGGATTGAATTCCCCAAAGAAAGCCAAAAGAGGGGGAGATTGCAAGTTGAGGAACCATGGATATAAAGATAAGCAAAAAGATGGTTAGGATTCGAAATCTAGCGTCGG